CCCCCCCCCCCCCCCCCCATGTTTGTAGAGCCCAACATAAAACTGTTAAAGTTGGCATGATGGTTGTGGTATGCTTTGATATAAGTAAAAAAACCATTTTTTTAAAGCTGCATGGATGCATGCTAAAACTAAACTAGTTACAGTATTGATGTTTGCATTTCTTTGTGTGGAGATTGTATTCTTGAAAGCTTGCCATCTGAAAACATTTACAGTGATCATCACCCTTAAAAATGCCTCTTTTGCTTTAGAATTGCTTTACTGCATTATTCTCTTATTTCATGGAAGAGGGGTTTAGAGAATTCCCCAAGTGCTAAGAAATAACACTACTTAATTGACTGAGGCACTGGAAAACTTTTTAAGGGTGAGCTCCAATAAGAGGTGATTAGGACTCCCAAGTTTCATTAAACAAGTCCCCTAGATTTGACTGCCCTGTTGAAAAAAAATCCTTGTCCTCTAGATTGTGTTAAACAATAGCAACACAACCCTGTGTAGACATGAGTTACCCTTTCGTCTTGTAGTTATTCACACAGGTGCAAAGTGAGTGAGTGCAACATACAGTAAAATTAGGATAGCTGTGTTTTACATCTAATTTGCATAAGGGTTAGTGATAAGTTACAAGGCAGTACTGAGCCCAGCGGGACCACTTATTTTAATAGAGCTTTATAGGACCAGGAGCTGTTTTCTTCATTGAACTGGATAGAGTTCTGTCTTGAAGCTGTACCATCTATTTAGCTTGTGACACAAATGTGTTTTGTAACACCATATAACTTCCGAAAGTGGGATGAATTTTCTGCAGCTGTTTTCAAAGATGTGGTCTGCTTTCAAGTCATAGATTAATTCCGATGTGTAGGCTAAAGGAAGTTGAAGTCAGGGTGGGCCTCAGGCTCTGCAGGGAATATTCTGGGCTCCTGCTCTTTGAATTGATGTGGGAATTCTGGCTTACTACTTGACCATTCCAGTCCTGCAAAACACCCCACACTTTGAAGCAAATGCAATTCACAGCAGAGTGCACACAAAAACCTTGGCATAAGACAAGAAGGTTCTTCTTATTTTGTGGGTTGGTTGCTGTAGAAACCTATAACAAAGGACAGCCTTCCACTTCGGGTATAATTGTGTAGACCCTTTTCTCTAGGCCTGACACCTGTCTGAATAAGAGTGATTAGAGCTGAATAACATGCCTTGCCTGGCTATTGAAGATGTGGTTCACATACTAAAAGAAAACTGTACAAGTGAAATAAAACATCCATGTTCTGTCTCTTTGTGTGCTACTACATCTTAAGGTTTTGTAAAATTTCATCTTTTTCACAATGTGAAACTGAAGGTCAATAAATTATTAGAGATTTTCTCTTCAATTAACAGTTCTTTTTGGCAACCTTGACCCCACAACATTATTTTGGTCCTTTTATATAGTTCATGTCTTTGTCTTTTTAAAAATACCCAACAAGTCAGCATTTAAACTTCTGCTTCAATTATCCTGGGTGTGTTTGCTTTTTTCTATTATTCCACTGTTACTATGAATTAAATTTCAAATTTCAATAATAAAAACTCAGAGTTTTTAGAAGAACAGGAAATACAGTTTAAGAACAAAATATGCAAGTCTTCATGTTTTTATTTTGGCCCCTGGTATATAGTATATTGCCTGATATTACTTTGGAACACAGCTAGGCAAGTCATCCACCCCTAAGGGGGGAAAAATTGCTGGCTATACATGTTCATATATATCTTAACTGTGTCAACATTGTTTGGCATCTTATGGCACCCCTAAAAGGATTGCAGTGCAGGTAAGGGTCCTGAAGCACCCTGGTTGAGAATCACTGGTATGTGCGTGCACACGCACGCGCATACACACCTCAACCCCCCAGTGATTCTCAACCAGGGTGATTCAGGACCCTTGCCTGCATTGCAATCCTTTCAGGGGTGCTATGAGATGCCAAACGATGTTGGCACAGTTAGATGTGCAAACATGATTCACAAGATTTGGAGAGTTCAAATAATCTATAGTATTAAACAATTCTGACCTGTTCTGGTCGTGCTCTGATCTTTGTAACAGAAGGTTTTCACTCACTTTTAGATTATGGAAATATAAGTGCTGCCATTTTCCAAGGGTTCCTTGAGCCTAAAAAGTGACTAACCACTTTACATACGTATAAAAGCAAACTGGTGGTGATTTTTTTTTAAATTTAGATTTTGTCAGAGATTTAAAAAAAATGTTAAAATTGATAATAATACTAATATAATATTTCGTTTAGTGCCTCTGGTTGCAAAAGATTACAAAAGGCTGTGCAAACTGAAGTGCCAGTCTTTCAATGAGATTCATACATGCAAGCCCTCCAGGAACTATATGCACAGATCTGCTAAAGGTTGAGGTTCCAAGAGCCTCATTGTCCTACTGTGGTGAGGCATAATTCTTCAAGTGTCAACCCATTGTAATTCCTAAGAATTCTTGCTTTTGGGTGAAGAAGGAGGTTTCTTTCTCCAATGATTATTTCAGTTCTCACCCTTTTAGTTTCTTTTAGGGTTGTATAAATCTGAGAGATGAGAGGTGGTTTTAGCACATGTCTATACCCCATTTTGCAGTACAATGTAGCCATAACCAAGTTAGTTCATTTGAAGCTAGTATGTCTCTACTGCATGCAATACTGTGTAATAGGGCTGTGCGAAGCTTTGGTCCCTGATTCGAAGTATCTCTGGTCTGCTTCTGGGTGTGCTGGGGGCCCCCCCCCACACCTCCTGGCTTGGCGACTAGTGCCTCCTGAGTCTGGCAGGTGTACCTGGGCTTCCCCCATGGCCGATCGCAGACTTGGGGGAGGGGGTGTGGGAGTTCACCACTGGGACTGTAGGGGGGCCCTCCACGTACTTATGGGACACTCTATGTGCCCCAGCATTGCAGTGTTCACAAGCCGCGCTGGTACCTCAAGGTCTGTAGAAAAAATGTTTAAAGCTGTGTCCAAATTGCTGGTTCTACGAATTGGCATTGAATCTTCAGATTTGGATTCGGCCAAATCGAATCTGGGACAGTGAATCGAATCACTGTCCCTGATTTGGGCTGAATCTGAATCGAATAGGGCCTGCTTTGCACACCCCTACTGTGCAATGTAGGTCTAACCTGAGTTGGCTTCCATGACCACTTTCTGCTAATAAGAATTTCGTGTAGTCAGGGACACAAAGTCAGGGACACAAAATCTGCTCCTGAAAGCTGAGGGGATTCTAGTACTGAGGATCTTTTATGGATGGCATGAATTAAAAATAGATAAATGTCAGAAATCTAGATGTATTCATGCTAACTGCATGGATAAGTGGGAGTTAGTTTACCACTATGGCAGGGCTGTGTGTACTGGAATCAATCATACACCTGGATAACTGGAAAAGGCCTTGAAGTGGTGCACTAGTGACAGGCTTAGCTCTTACCTGACTGGTTGGAAGCCTGAGGTAACATCGGGATAAAATGCTATAAAACATCACTGAATAAATAATAAGGGAATGTCTTGTCTCATCCACTGGCAACTTGAGGTCGGAGTAGATGGGTTCAACAGCTGTGACATAGATCCAGGAAGGTGTAAGGGGCATTAGACCAAGTGGACCTGATGTATGCATGCATGCATACAGGAGAAGAAGGATCCTCAGCTTTGTGCAAGCAGGTGAAGGTATATATTTTCTTTTTTAAGTGTTTTAAAACTAAGATGTGATGAAGTTTTGTACCGTGTGTGTGTATACATATATATATGTATAGAGAGAGAAAGAGACTCACATGCACCCACACACAATGAGTAGATAATGGGTTTTTGTATATTCATTTACACATACCTTAGTCTAATTCAGCAAAAGTGGAATTGCCATTAGATAGCAGTTATAGCTCTTATAGCTTGGCCATTCCCAATTATGAGTCAGAGTTGAGGCAGCTCTAACTTAGACTACTGGCATACGTTCCTTTGGGATCTTGCACCAATGGAGAATTGACGTAATATAGCAGGAGAGTTGACATCATATAGCACAGTTTTACTATGCTCCATTTCCATCCTTCTTACCTCCTACTCGCTGCCTGGTGGTGCAGCAGGGCTAGAACAGAACTTAAAATCTGGACTAGTATGTATCTGTACAAGACTAAATACAGATACATGTATCTGCTTAAGACATGCACAGGAACACAGGTATATCAGCAGTTTTATTTATAGGCTTGCTTTTTTAAAAGTCTAAGATGCAAGTTCCCTCAGTGTTTAATATATGCACACACAGAAGGCATCTGTC